CCTACTTTTCTGCAGGGTCCCCATAAATTCCATATTAGGGTTTATATAATCTATGAACCTACAAAAAAAGTGGGGCTTGGTAGGTTTAAGGTAAACTCCTAAACTCCCATAACCAAGACCTCATAGACTCCTATAAATCCCATAAACCCTAAACCCTGAACCCCAAACCCTGAACCCTTAACCCTAAACTCAACTGAACAGCGAGCATGGGTGGAGAGTCCTCCCAGTGCCAGCCTCAGGAGGTTTTTGGCTTCCGGATCAGGGACTTCTGAGGTTTTTGGTTGGGGACTTGGTATAGGGACTATAGGGTTTAGGGCTAAACCCTAAACCCTAAACCCTAAACCCTAAACCCTAAGTTTCGGGTGTGGGGGAAGGGCTTAGGGTTTGGGGGCTCAGGGCTTTTCAGGTGTAGGGTTTAGCGCCTTGGGTTTGCTCGTTTAGTGTTTAGGCCGTTGGGTTTAGGGTGTGGCATACGGCATAGGGTTTAGGGCTTAGGGTGCAGGGTTTAGGGCTTAGGGTTTAGGGTCTAGGGACTGGGGTCAGTTTGAGGCATCGATATGAAACAGGTCAGGCGGGCTCCTGGACCAAATACCTGAATTCCTAAACACCGGCTTTAAGGCGTTGCAGATCCAGGATTCAAGAGGCTTCGCCAACCTTGCACCATAACGATGCCATGAAGCCTAAGCCCTAAACCCAAAAAACCCTGAAAACTTAAAATCACAAAAACCCTCAAGCCAGAAGGCGCTTGGCGCCCACACCATTCTGGCTCCCTAAACCTCGATGCATCCGAGGCGCTGTTCTTGTTCCATATGCCTGGGAAGTTCTTGCGCTTCCCAGGTTGCTGTCTCGACGTTTAGGGGGCAAAATCGAGCTTAGGCGAAGGAAGCTTTCAGCTGCCCTACCTCCCTAAACCCTAAACCCTAAACCCTAAACCCTAAACCCGACACCCTAAATTGAAGGAAACTAGAGGTGGGGAGTTTAGGGTATATAGGGCTTCTATAAGGCTTCTATAAGGTATATAGATCTTCTATAAGGCTCCTATAACGGTAACTACCCACCTGACTAAACCCCTAAGCCCCTAAATTCAACGATGCCGCCAAGGCACAGCTTCGGGCTGCATCTCTTTCAGGTCTAAGAAGCTACTAAAAGGATTGATTATTTTGCTGAACGGCTGCCCCTCTGTTGTATACCAGAGTTGTACAGGAAACCTCAAACCCTGAACCGTTGAAGCTGTTGAGCCATCTTTGACCAATACCCTAAACGTCAAGCCCAAGATCCAAAAGATCCAAGGCCCAAAACTTTAGTGTGAGGGCCGTATTTAGTGATTAGAACAGGGCTTCGGACACAAATTATACGATGAGTATCTAACTAATGTTACTAGGATTTCGTTGCATGTTGTACAAAAAGTACCTATAATATACAATAAGGAACCCCAAGTTGTGATGTTGGGTTTAGGGTTTAGGGTTTAGGGTTTAGGGTTTAGGGTTTAGGGCCATCTACGCCCCCATCGTACATGCTGTAGCCTGTGCAGAATGGCTTGAATAATCACTGTCACTGAACCATGAGTCTGAGCTGGATTTTCTGAAGTTTCATGCTATAATCTAGGGGCCTTAATACTTCGAACAGGGTTTTGGGGGTTCCTGACTATAGTTATAGTATAATATATCCAAAACCCTATTCTAATTATTTGGGCCCTTATTTTAACTGTTCAGATAGATTCTGGGGGGCCCTATGGCGCGAGGCACCTAAACCCCTCACAGCTGCAGCTCCGGTGCTGCCGAAAGCAGGAGCATCCGATGGCGGGGAGGAGTCGGGGGACGGTTCGCTGACTTCCTCCGGGAAGTCGTGGGCTTAGGGCGCTTGGCATCGTTGCTTTTTCTTCTTCTGTCGATCTGCGGGAAGGCGATTTAAGGAGTTTGAGGCTTTTGTGTCTCGGCTCAAGGCTCATGAGCTTGGCTGTCGGTTTAGGAACTCGGGCGTGAAGGGTCGGGCATGAAGGGGTACAAAAAAAGCTGAGGGTGAGATCAGCAGTCAAAAAAACGAAAATCCTCAAACCTAAACCCTAACCCCCGAACCCGAAAGAGGCCCTTACCCCGTGAACTTGAAACTCAACAAAACCCTATAACTATTGAAGCCGTAAACAGCGTAGAGCATCTTGAAAGCCTTATAGCATTAAGCTCTAAGCCCTAAACCCTGAACTCCTTACAGACCCCCAATCAGTAGAAATACCCCTGCAGGAACATTTGAAGGAACGCTAAACCCGAGGCCTTACAGGGTACCCTAAAGGGAACCTAAAGGGAACCCGATCGGAAACCTTCTGATAAAGGGAACCTGATGAAGGAACCTTACACGAATGAGGCAACTCTTACGGGAATCCTTTAGAAGGCACCCTTAAAAGGAACCCCTAAACCCAGAACCCTTATGCACTTCCCGAAAAATAGCCCTACATTGAAAACCCAGCACCTTCGTCTCCTTCGTTCTCACCTCCGACGTCGGGTATGCGCTGCTTTCCGGGCGCAGAGGCCAGGTCAGGGAAAGCTGCGCGCGCCTGGGGGAGCTCTTGGTTGGAGGGTTGTTGGGGGCATTTAGGGGTTGAGGGTTGAGGCATTTAGGGTGCACAGGTTTCATTAGGTGTTTCAGGCTCTAAGGTTTGCAGGGTTTTCTCGTGGTTTTGGAAGTAGGGCTTGGGGTTTGATGGTTGGAGGGAGGGACTTTTGGTTTTAAACAATGGCCTTAGTCGCAATCGCAGCAGCTGGCAGTGCCAAAAACCGGTTCCGTCAACAGTGAAGCACAACTGTAAACCCCGGTCTGTTCGGACTGATCCAAGCGGGTGCTTCGACTTCAGAGAATCTCAAACGGGGTTGTTTCTCCACGAGAAAATCGTTCTACATACATCTGGAAAACAAAAGCGATGAAAACTATCAGCCTTGCAACTCCTATAGGACAAGCTTCAGGTTGTCCTGGATTGACCGATTTGATGCATTCCGGCGAGCCCGACAGTCAAAGCGGGAAAGCTGGAGGATGGTTTACCGAGATTGTCACGTTGGCGTGGGCATCTTCCAACTTTGAATTGATCTGCCGTGTTTTGTTTCTTCCAAGTTTTGCGTCTTCCAACTTCATAAAGTTTGAGATTAAGCAAGGATAGCAGCCCAGTCCACTAGAAACAATCGAGGGCACGGTGGAACTGCTTTTCCCGAAGTACTGGCGTCTCCAGGACGCACCGTGAAAGTACTTTCCCCATGTACTGGCAAACATACGACAGACCCAGTCGAAGCGCGGATCCGGGCATGCGGGGGGTGCGGGGTTGCCCTTCCCGGGATGCGGGGTTGCAGGGTGCTGCCAGGCAAGCAGTGTGGTGCCTGTCAAGCAGACTAAAGTTGGAAGATCGCACTAAACGGCTTCTTCCTTTAGCATGCCACAGCGCACTTTCCAACTTTCCGGCTTCCACCATAAATCCAAACCACCCAAGTTCCGAAACCTTCTTCAAACCTAAATCCCAAGACCCTTACTCCCCATGCATGCCTGGAAACGTCTTACAAGCCTTAAAAGTCCTACAGTAAGAGAGTGACAGCTGGAACATCCTAATCTCATTTCGGTTTAGGGTCGAGGGTTTATGGTTCAGGGTTCCTGATGCTTCTATGAAGCTGGCTAGGTTTTCACCCGCGCTCCAACTTTCTGGAGTTCAAAGTCAAGCTCGCAAGAAGTAGGCAACACCCCTACGCCTCAGAGGGATCCTGCTTTCCAGCAACTTTCTAAATGACTGGGGCCCCCAGGCTTCTTGGAGAACTTGGCAGATGCCTCGCCTGAGCAGTTGAGGTTTGAGTATATGGGACGTGGTCTGTACTGCGGGGTTCAGGGGATTTACGGTTTAGTTTTCAGGGTTCAAGCAATTATCAGATTTGGTGAGGTCCACTATGTCCGGAGAAGGAGGCGCCAGAGTCATCATCCATCACTGGCAGCGCTAGTCACGTTATCCTTCTTTAACTGGCAAGTAGTACGCAGCCATAAGCATATCAGGAGGCCACAGGGCCACAGTGCATAAGGATCGCTAACTCCGGAAATCAACTCCAAACTCCTTACATGTAGCTCACCCTAAACCCAATTCTTTACTAAACTCAAATCGCCGATCTCGCGCAAAAAAATGTCACACGGAACCCCTTATCCCAAACCCTAAACCCTACATAAAACAACAACTGAACATGGGACCCCGAATCAACAGCCGAAATCCGCAATGCTGGGTTCTCATGTCATGTCTCAAAACAGCGCCGTGAGATCCGGTACACCTAAACGCAGCTTGGGGGAATTCGATTTTGAGCTTCCAGGCAGAAATTTGAGTGGTCTTAGGATTAGGGTTTCTTTAGCAGTTTTGGAGTTTAGGAATTTAGGGGGTCCCTAGACCCTAAGCCCTAAACCCAAACCCAAAAATTAGGCCCTAAAAGCGGCGTTAGGCGTCTAGCCGTCTAACCGTCATTATGACCAGGGCTTTAGGGTTACGGTTGAGTGGTCTCTTTCGGAGTCTTTAATTGTGGGTCTTTTAGGACTTGGGGTTTAGAGCCCTCAAGCTTACATTCAAGAGCAGCACACTCACGAGGATGCCACCGTGCACATCTTTTGCAAGATCCGCTGGCCTTGGCACTCTGAGAGGTTGGGGAGGGGCCCAAAGGCTTTAGCCCCTAGAAATATCTAGGTCTAGGGCTTGTAGGGCTCAAGCCTTCAAGTGCAGGTTTTGGGGGCTCTTACTGGTCCTGCAGTGTTTTCGGGATGCAACGGGCCCCAGGTTTGCGGTCTACCTAACGCCTCTAAGGGCTTCGGCGGTTGAGAACCGGGACCTTCCTCAGGTTACCTTTTGGGCTTCCCGAAACGGTAAGCCAGTCTTACCATAAGGCCATAAGGATCTCCAAGTGGGTCGTAATGGACCGTCATGCCAATGTAGAATAACTGATAAGGGAGTGCCACCTGAGAAGGGTGACCCGCTTTCATGCTTGTGCAGCAAGGCTACTAACCTAAAACCGGTATGAGAATTCGCACGGAAGTCGTGCATGTAAGCAGCAGCGTGCGAGTGAGAAATTTTGAAGCCTATTACGCTCTGCCGCCTACATGTCCGCCTCATTGGAGAAACACGCACACATGACATACACATTCTACACTGACGCTACATTTACACGTCTAGAGCCAGCTTCTGCCATCGACAAAGTGAACTGCAGAACCTTCTTTCTGAATACCAACATGCGCACTGATGCTTATCAAGCTATCTACTGAATTACGATGTCCAACTCAGGGCTGCAAGTTGCAGCTGCAAGATGCCTCCACGGCTCCCCAGCACCTCCTGCAACCTCTCTGATGTAATATGGCAGCATATTGGTCTCTGTAAAAGTAAAACTCGGCTATGATATACGTAGCACAACGCACTATATAACTGCTACGGCAAGGTTTAGAACTATTGCTCTGTCTATTCACCAGCTGAGACATCTGAGCATCTAATAAGCCTGAGCCTGTCGCAGTGGGAGCACGACCGCTCGCCCTTTCTGGTTGAGGCGAACCTCGCACGCGCAAGCCGTTTTCCTAAACCCTACACCATAAGACTCTCTAAACCATAGCCCCGAAATCTGCAGCCGTACTCTTTTGGTCCTCAACCCGAATCCTTGAACCCTGACCCCAAATCTTAAACTGTAATTCCCTACCCCTTAAAATTAAATCTAAACCACAACTCTGAAACCGTAATCCCTTCACCAACCCCTAAACTCTAAACAAGACTCAAGATCCATAGAGCCAACCGAATCCCAGAGACACTCAACCCCTCAGTTTGCAAAGTCAAAACCATTAACTCTGAGGAGGTGATTGTCGTATGAGCGCCAAACCTAGGCTGCATCCTGTTCTTATAGGAATTAGTACTATATGGGTTGTGGTCGCACATTCTGGGAGACTTCCTGACACCACTTCAAGAAACCCTATATATTGGGGATTTTCCAGGGCTACTTAAACCCTAACCCTCAACTCTAAACCTTAAATCCTCAACCCTGAACCCTAAACCCTAAACTCCTAAACCCTCAACACTCTTTATCAAAGGTATCGGGTTTTTGAGCCATGTTCCCACCACGAAGGCGGGGCCGTATTCCATTGAACCCGCCAAAGGGCATTTTTTCCACGAAGACCGGGCCATATTCCAACGAAGCCGGGGCCGACTTCGTTGGAACGTGGCTCGGCCTTCGTGAAAAAATGGCACTTTCGGCCCGGTTCGTTGGAGCATGGCCCGGCCTTCGTGGGAAAATGGCACTTTCGGCACGGGTTCGTTGGAATATGGCCCTGCGTTTGTGGAAAATTGCCCTTTCGGCCCGGGTTCGTTGGAATCTGGTCCGGCCTTCGTTCGGGCCGGGCTTCGTTGGAAAATGTCCCTTTCAGCCCGGGTTCGTTGGAATATGGCACGGCCTTCGCTGGAAAATTGCCCTTTCGGGCCGGCTTCGTTGGAATATGTTTTTGGGTTCAGGGCTCAGGGAGGGTCAGGGTTTAGGGTTCATGAGCTAGGGTTTAGGTTTCAGGGCCCAGGGTTCAGGATTTCGGGCTCAGGGCCCAAGGTTCGTATCATAAGGTTTGAAGTTATTCTGGTGTTGATCGAAGGGTTTTAGCGTTCAGGATATAACTCTTTAATTTTGGGTTTAGGATCTAAGCTTTAGTACGAAAAGGTATGGTTTCTCAATGTTGAAGGTTCCTGGGTGGGTGGGTATTTTTCTAGGATCAAAATAGTGAGCTCGACTAGAAACTGCTCGATCCGGAGCTGCTGAACCCTCAACAATCTGAACCGCCGAGAGCGCCGCTGACCATTTGCATGGGAGCCGCACAAAAATCAGATTTTCGCGTGGCTGAGGGTTTCGGGGTGAACCCGATCCCCTAATTCTGAATAGTTGGGGCGGTAGCCGAGCGATTTGTGGATAGAGTAAAAGGCGCACCCACCGCGTGCCACTGTATGCACACCAAACCCTGAACCCTCAACCCTAAACTGCCGAGGCTCCGACTGAGGCCCCCAGCAGTGTTTGTTGGGAAACCCTGCTTCTCGCACATTGTATGCAGAACTGCGAAGGGAAGCAGAGAGCAAAAAAAGCCCCCCTTTGAGGGGGTTTAGGGGTCAGCCCTTAAGGGGCACCCACCGCGCGCGCACGCTGTATACACACCCTCAACCCTAAACCCTAAACCTTAAACCCTAAACCCTAAACCCTCAACCCTAAACCCTTACAGGTAGGATTCTGCCAAGGCCTCGGTTTCGCCAACATCCACCGCGACGTCCTCACATCGAGGCGAGTTCAGGGGTAGTTCTCCAAGTTAAAATCCCTTTTTAAGTCCCCAAAATAAGACGGCACCCGAATTCAAAAAGGACCTTAAAGGGGCACTACTTTAGAGAACTGCCCATGTGGTGATAGGTCGTCATTCAAGCCGGAAACCCCAGCCCCAGAATGAGACCCGACACTCTTGAAAGTCGCTTCGCGCCAGTCGGGCTCGGGGAAATCTTCTGAAGATGCGGGATGAACTGGTTAGGGCTTAGGGTTTAGAGTTCAGGGTTTAGGCTTTAGAGTTGGTGAAAGGCATGGGGTGTTTTAAGCTCAGGGCTTATATGGGGTGAAGGGGTCCTATGAGAGCTCTAGCAGTGTACTCTTAGGGGTTAGGGTTGGGTTCGGGGGTTTAGGGCTTGGGGTTCGGGGCCTTCGGGGCCTAGGTTGGGTGCAGGGTCTAGGGTGCAAAGCTTGAGGGTTTCAGGGTTTAAGCTCCATGGTTTTGCAGGTTTAAGGGCTTCATGGTTTACCTGGTTGAATGTTTACGTAGGGGGCAATGGGATGAAAAGCTGAACATCGACGCAGGATTTATAGGGTTTCAGCTAGGCTGTCAGGGCTTAGCAGTGTTGAGTTTCGGGGTCTGGGGTTCAACGCTGAACCACCGTGTGAACCTGTCTTGCACGCGATACTAGCAATCGTCACCGAGCTCCCAAACAACGTTTTCTTTTTGCAAAACTTCGACAGACTTCCAAAAACCTAAACGGTCCAAGTCAAAGTTGTCGGCTCCAATCGTATAGTCTCCATTGTATCATGTATTCAGGATTTTATAAGGTATCCCCAAAACGGAACTACAATGTAGACTACAGGTAGGAAGTTGCAGATCCATGCTGCCACGTCCAAACTCTGACAACCTTCATCACATGAAACCTTAAAACCGAAGCCCCTGCACCCAAAACCCTGAATGCTGAAACCTATAAACCTCAAACCCCTATAAAAACGCCTAAACCCTGAACCTCGACCCCTGAAAACCAGGAGCTAAAGCAACAAGCTCTAAACCCTAAACCCTAAACCCTAAACCCTAAGCCCTAAACCCTAGACCCTAAACCCTAAACCCTAAACCCTAAACCCAAAGCTCTCAATGAAAAGCCGCCTCTAAGGTGGGAAGCGAAATCCACAGGCGCAGCTCTCCGTCGCCTGCTTCTATGGGTTAAGTTAGGGGTTCAAGGTTTCGGGTTAGGGTTTAGGGTTTAGGCTTTAGGGTTAAGGTTTTTAGGGTTTAGGGTTAGGGTTCAAGGTTTCGGGTTCAGAGTTGCGGGTTTAGGGTTTAGGGTTTAGGGTTCAAGGTTTCGGGTTCAGAGTTGAGGGTTTAGGGTTTGCTCAGCGTCTGCGGCTGCAGCTAGTGTGAAGTGGAATCTGGTTTCAATTTTCGAAACCGCGGGTCAAGCGACCTACTCCTAAAAACCTTCTTAGTCCCTGAACCCTACCTTAAACTACCTAACCCTACTTTTTTGTAGGTTCCTATTACAAACCCTAATATGGAATTTATAGGGGCCCTACAAAAAAGTAGGTTTTGGTAGGTTAAGGTAAACCTTGAACCGGGAGGAACCTCGTTTATTCAGTGCATGAGCCAGACGAGCCAGTGAAAAAATGAGAAAGTTGGCACAGACCCGAAACCTTACACCCCAAACTCTGCACCATGAGGACCCTCGAAAAACAAACCAGTGGTGCAGAACATCTTGTGCGGTCTCAGAGAGGCGTTGTAGATCTTATCGAGAGAATATCTCTGTTCTTCATTTGTTTTGCCGTGCATTGGGACCTTCCTTGCAGCAGCGCGGTCCGCCCGGCCGTTATACGGGCTTGCACTCGGCAGAAATCCAACAGGAGACCAAAAAACAGGCTTCAGCACAGACACCGCAGTTGAGAAAGTGCCAGATGTAGTAGAGGTCGTCTCACCATCGTCATCAAAAGGTCTAGAGTTTTGCTTAGGGTTCTTGCGTTTACACCAGGGTTCCTGGCTTGGCCGCTTCACCAGATGCTTCCGTCTCGAGGGCTTTCGCGCGAGCCACAAACTCGGCCAGCTAGTTTGCAACAGCTTCGTTGTGCTTGCCAAGGAGGTCAGCTGCTCACAAGGCTTACGCGGAAATTTCTGTACGCCACTCAGACGGATCCGCCACACTGTGCAAGGGCTTAGGGTTGAGGGTTTTAGGTTACTGCAGGGTTCTTGTGGGGGTCATCCTGGGATCTCACAAGATACTACAAGGGTTTATGGAGTATTTGGGACTAGTGTAAGGGTTCCTTCAGAGATTTCTTTTGGGGTTCTTTTCGGGGAACGCTCTACTTGCAGGTTGCGGTGTGGGTTGAGGGTTTAGGGTTTAAGGTTTGACGTTTGGAGTCAAGGGCTGAGGTTTTGCGGGTATGGGCTTGCGGTTTGGGGCTTGGGGTTTGGGATTTAGTTTGGGTTTGGCTTTCCTAAACCCCTAAACCCCAAACCCGAAACCTATACAGTGGAGCGTGGATTATGTTTGACAGGCTGCCTGTCTTCCAGGGCTTCGGACTCAAAGGCACCTGTGCCTGACCCTAAACTAACCCCAAAGAACCCTGAACTTTTACGTCGAAACCTAAACCCTAAACCATAAACCCTAAACCCGTAATCCTAAACCCTGACAATGAGTGAAAGCTTGCAACTTTCAAGACCTCTCGTCAAATCCCCTGACTTCAGCAGCATGCGACAACGCTGAAGCATTCTGTAGCCCCGAAACGGTTTAGGCTTTAGTGTTTGTAATATATACCGAAACCCAGGACCCAAAATCGAAAACGCTGAAACTTAAACCCTAAACAGAGCCGATGCACATCTATATCTATACATATACATGTATGTATATATATAATATGTATACACGTTATATATATATATATAGATATAATTCCGAGCCAGGGCAGAGCCTTTTTCGAATCCATGGGCTGGAAAGTCGTCGACCGCCATGGCGGCCGTCCGGCTAGCAACACCCACTAAGGTTTAGGGCTTATGGGATCTAGGGTTTAGGGTTCTGGGTTTAGATTTAGAGCTGGATGAAAGGTAGCTTTCCAGGGTTCTATAGGACTTTAGCAGAGCGCCTCATAGTTACTTTCTCGGGTTAAGGGTTTGGCATTTGGAGTCTCTGCTTTGGTGGTTCAGATTTCAGAGGAGAGACTTAGGGATTGCACCTAAAGTAGTCCTTGGCAGGTTCGTATGACCCGTTGAGGGTTAAGGGTGCAGGCTTCTGAGAGGTTGAAGGGTTGGGCCTGAGAGTGCGGATGTTCGATTAAGTTTCAGGGACCGTTGAGTACAGAGGCCAGACAAGCATATCAATGTATGACTCTACTAATTACCCTAGACCCTAAACCCTAAACCCTAAACCCTAAACCCTAAACCCTAAACCCTAAACCCTAAACTCTGAACCCCAAACCCTAAACACCTTGTACTTCTCCAATTTCGAAGGGTTCGTCATCCCTGGGGCTCCTTTGGGTTTCGGCCTATAGTGGCTCCTCATGAAAGTGTGAGCAAAAGGTGAACAGGCTTAGGGTTTAGGGTTTAGGGTTTAGGGTTTAGGGTTTAGGGTTTAGGGTTTAGGGTTTAGGGTTTAGGACAGAAACACCCGGAAATTGAAGTAAGGTTTGCGGCGTAGAGTTTAGAGGTTTCGGGTTCAGGATTCTCTGGGCACTGTTCAGCTTTTTGGGCTTCAGGGTCTGTGCGTGTTCAGTGTCTCGGCCCTCGGCCTTGGGGGCAGAGGTCGTACTTCTACCGCGATCCAACAATACATCCCAAGGAATACTCCCGCTTCACACACCCCGGCCCTATGCAGGGAAAACACTAAACCCTAAACCCTAAACCCTAAACCAAAACCCTAAACCAAAACCCTAAACCCTAAACCCTAAAGCCTAAACCCTCAACCCAAAACCAAACCCCAAACCCTAAACCCTAAATCCTAAACTCTAAACACTACGAACCGAGACATGAGATACAAATCATGGCTGGGGACAAGTTGCACATGCGCGCTGAAGACGAAAAAATTTAGAAAGGCCCCGAACCTCGAACCCTAAACCCTAAACCCTAATGTAGGGGCGTTGATAATTAGAGTAGGGGTTTTGGGGTATATTATACCATAAACAGAATAAGGAACCCCCCAAGATCGTATAGGTAATTATTCAGGCCCCTATATTAAACCCTAAGCCCGGAACAGGTCTTTGCATTCTCTTTTTCCTGGGCCGAGAAGCCGTCTGCCGGAACGGCAGGGGCTTGGTTTTTTTGTTTCCGTGGGGTCTCTGCTAAAGCAAAGGTGGGAAAGCTGAGTCTCCAGCAAGTCGCTTGATGCTTAGGGCTCAGGGCTTAGAGTTTAGGGTTTAGGGTTGCTTCTGCACTATAATCACTATAACTGTAGGTTGGCCCCTCAAAGTAATGGGAACTATGAAAATGTAGATTGTAATATAAAAACACTATCATATGTATCTCTGTACAGCGCAGCACAACATGATATTATAATGGGATAGGCTCGAAGCTTCCGGGAGTTGAAGACTCTCTGTAGCTTTGCCACATACTACGCTGCACTTTTGGCATGTGCCGGGGTTGCTTTTGACCAAGGCTCCCTTTCAGGCATGTATTGCAGGGTTTAGGGTTTAGGGTTTAGGGTTTAGGGTCTGCAGAGGGACCGGAATTTACAAGACTCACATGAAGCATAGGCCTCTACTCGGGTTGAGTGCATGCATGGATGGGTGAAGGCATGAAGGCATGAACGGATGCACGTATGCAGGTCCTTCTCGTGAGTGCATGTTTGGGTTTTGTGTCGGGATCCCAGTCATAAAGCCCCGACCTCACATGAAGGTTTAGGGTTTAGGGTTTAGGGTTCTGAGACTTGAGACCTTGAACATTGCACCGCGCTGGGGACCACCGAGGAACGGACCCCAGCGCACAACCCATATATACCCCACGCGATTAAAGATCCGAAGCCCTGAACGCCAAAACCCCAAAACCCCCAAACCCTAAAGCCCCAAGCCCGGATACCCTACTCTCTCATAATGCCTGCACCAGCCAGGAAGGCGGCCCGAGCCTAAAGCACGCCCGAGGATGGCAGCAAGATCAATTAACGATCTCCGGAGTGCGGCCGCGCTCTTCCCCTTATGGTTCTGAACCCTAAACCCTGAACCCTAAACCCCTAGAGTGTGAGCCCTGAACCCCCAAATCCTTGAGAGAGTTTTGCGGTGGGGTGGCCGAAACGGCGGCCCCTCTCGCAAGCAAAATTTAAAAACACATGCTTCTCTTAAGGTTCTGTGTTCTGGGTGGTAAATTTATTTTGGATCCAGTGCACCAGCATAATAGTCATCATACACACATTCTTGTGAGGTTCCAGAATGTACAATATGGTTGCACAAAACCGTTCGCGCGAGATACCAAATGTGCTATGCTGATGCTTCCGAAAATGTGTGGGCAGCAAAATGCATCTAAAAGTTATAAACACTTCGTGCGGGATACTGTATGTATATTAATGGTTAAAGACACAGTCGGAGGAGGTACCCACTGTATATGATTATAAAAACAGTCCTGTGTTTATTACGGTACATTAACAAAACACTAGTGGGAGGTAACAAGAGGTATACAACAAGAGCAATAACGGCTAACAGGCACAAGTACATTGATGGCTTTACCAGGAAATGGGCAGCAGCTCAGCAGCGGAGGCAGAACAGCACAGGTGAGGAAGCCAACACAGGACCGACCAGACAATCTGCTGTTGGTTGTGGTCACGACTCACACCCCAAACCCTAAACCCTAAACCCTAATCTCAGACTCAACGGCCAACGCCTGAAACCCCACACCCGCTTTGCATGTTGAGATAGGGGCCCGGGGGTTCGAGCTCAGGGCTTCTGGTTTAGGGGTTGAGGGGTT